AAATTCTTATTCTTTTTCTGCCCCCAAACAATGAAAACAAGAAAAATATGTATGCACACAGAAGAAAAAATATAAAAAACTACACAGTAAGTTCAATCAAAACAGGATTTATGCAACAAATCGTGTAAAATGATGAAATATCGTGTAAATTCAAATAAAACAATGAATTGGTCAATACTATTACCCGATACACGGATCTGTCAAGCGTATTATGCGTCATCTTTGATACATTGAAAATTACACGATATTTTACACATTTTTAACGTTTTACACGATTTGTCGCATAAATCTTGTTTTGATTGATCTTACTGTGTAGTTTTATATATTTTTCCCCTGTGTGTACATACATTTTGTACATCACACACATATTCACATACGCATAGTCTGCTCGCGTTGTTATTTATTACGTACATATAATGATATATACCTGTGAAATAGGTACACCTCAGTGAAAATTTCATTGAAAACTAGATAGCGCTCAGTACTGAATATGATAGCGCTCAGTACTGAATCTGTTATTTCGCAAGCAGACATATAATGGACCGATAGAAATGGTTTTGGAGAAACATTATTGTTTGAGTCGACATTCTCGATGCAGCTTTACTCTTGTCAGTCGTATTCTGTCTTCAGAACCCTGCACGTCAAATTTATGCTAAGTGATCTCCGCGATTTTGAAGACTACACGAATAAATTGTTCGCCTGTCAGTTTTTCATTGTTAAGATAGTTTCTTGCATTTGAATACAGAAACAGTGAAAGAGGTGTAGTTTTCAGTTGGAATATTTAAATTGGCTGGAATAATAAACTCTCGAAAATATGAGAAACGAAATCGATTCCATTTCAACATAATAATTGCAGAAGTGCAAGAATCAGTGATGATTTTTCGTTAGCCAGCATTGTCTTTGCCTTGGCTTACACCAACAACTGGTGTAAGCCAATCGTTGGCCAGCTATCTGTGTGACATTAGTACATTCAAAGTATAATAACTTTTGATTTGAATATTCTGATTCAAATCATACAAATTAAAAAAAAATATATATATTTCAATTATTTTCAATTTAAAAGTCATTTTTATAATTTGCGTTATTATTTTTTTCAAAAACTTGATAAAAAAAATGTCGATGTTTGGTTTCATTTAAACTCTGACCTGGTGATTTAAATATCAGTCACAAACGTCAGTTCAGATGAGTGCGTTCAGTTCTTACTGAAGTTTTCTCACTGACCTATACATTCGTTAGCCAGTATACACTTATGCGGCCAATTAGCCAGCTAATTGGTTCTTCACTAACAAGAATGTAAGATTTATAAAAAAAAGACTTTAAATTCTGAAATTCGATCATGGTTGGTTTGATCATTGGATATGAATTATTTTTAGGAAAACTGAACATCCTCATGAACGTGCGGGAACCCCGAGCTTTTTATCATTGGTATATTTTTCATAGATGGTATTTTATGCGTTTCAATCGATTAATTTATTCTTTTGAATAATTCCATAGTATCGTTTTGCCTCTCGATGGGATTTAACTTTATTACTCGTTGGTGTACTGTTTACATTCATAAAAGCTTGTACGCTTCCTATATTATTAATCCTTTTTGGTGAAGTAACAACTCTACTGGTCGAACGAAATGAAAATGTGACGAGCACACCGACCGTTGTGCTTAAATGGTTTGGAGGCGGAAAAGTTTTGTACGAATTTATTTTCATCTGTTTTTTTTTTAAATGGTGATACTCGTATGCATTCTATTTTTACCTTTGTCCACATAGAAAAAATGCAAATATCGAAGAGAATAATACCGAAATCATAAACGATTCGAATGCCTATTTGGTTGCATCATTAATTACATCGTTGGTACAACTAATTGCTGGAATCATTCATGTTGACTGTTTTAATCGAGCGGCAACAAGTCAAATCACTCGAACTCGAATAGCATACTTTGCGTCGCTAATGCAACAAGATATCGGCTGGTATGATAAGGAGAAAGGGAAATCGAATTTTACCGTTCGACTCGCTGAGTAAGTTTATTTATTTATTTATTTATTACGGAGCCTACATTTATGCCAATATGTGTTCCCAGCAAGCTGAGAACATGCTGGTCAGAGACCCAGTACGGCATAAATTCCGCCCATCGTGCGTCTTTTGCAAAGAGAATACAGTCAGGGGAGGGATGATATAAAAGTGAAGCTTTCATACCAGAATTGGGTCCGGAAAACCATGGTAAAACCAGCCTGATTCTGGAAAACCATGGGAAAATACAATGATGATGAGTTTTTGCAATTAAAGTACGTTAACATTAATGAGAAAAATCAAATGAAAAGTCAAACTTAATCTAAATTGGATAAGAAATTTTATAACAATGGTCCGAGTATTTTACCATTTGAAAAATATCTAAAAATTTACTGCGTGGAACGTAACAAATGCTTTAGGTTATTTTTAAACGCGACTAGAGATTAAGAATTTCTAATTTCGACCGATATACTATTCCAAAAATTGATTGCAGAGAAACTAAATGCGCGAGTATCAAATGCAGTACGCGGATTGAAATTCATGCGAAGATTATCTGGATAACGCGACGATTCACCATTACGAACAAACATGCGATTCAGATACTCAGGCGAACAATTTGACAACTGCTTGAATATCAAGACTGCTGATTGCAGTTTTGCTCTGCTCTCAGGAGTCAATCCACTCAAACGCTCACGATATTCAGTAACATGATCATTACGTTTTAATCCGTAAATGTATCGAATCTTGTCGTTATCAGCAACAAGATCACGGTGCACCTGGTTTTGGGTGCTGTGGGCGCCCCAGCCGTATGTTACCACATTTCCATAATCAATTATGGGATCTATCAGAGCTACAGCCATATCACGTTTGACGTAATTGGGTATAAATCGCTTAGTGTGACGAATGCGATTCAACACGCCATACACTTTTTGCAATTTACACTTTTCATGTTCTTGAAAAGTAAAGTTTCCGTCAAAAATAACACCAAAGTTCTTTATTGACTTACAGAATTCGATTTTTTCATCACCTAATTTCACTTCATTGATCATATCAAAATTCAACCGACCCGTTTGATGCTTTGATCCAATGATCATTACTTTTGACTTTAAACTATTTATAATCATACCGCGACGTAAAAGAAAATCATTTAACTTGGCAAGGTCAGAGTTTATTTTATCAAAATCTACTTCGATATGTGCTTGACAATCATCTGCGAACAAATGGCCTTTCATATTTTCAAACACATTGAGAGTATCATTGAAGTAAAGGGAGAAGAAAGTTTGGCCGAAATTACTACCTTGCAACACTCCATTATTAATTGAAACAAAGTTTGACTCTTGATCGCCGACTTTAACTTTTTGCTGAATGTTACTATAAATTGATTTAATTAATTTAACCGCGCTATTTGAAAAACCATACGATTTACAAACTTTTAAAAAAACATCATGAGGAACTGACGGAAACGCGCTTTTAATATCAAGTGCTAGAAGAATTACTAATTTTCTACGATTCAATGACGATCTGATACTCTCCGATATGTTCAATAGCAGTGTTGGGTAAAGATGAAGATAACAGATAAGATACAGATAAGATAACAGATAAGATGGTATCTTTTATCTTATCTTCATCTTATACTAAAATATCTCATCTTATCTAGATACATATTTTTTTAACGGTATCTTTTAGTATTATCTAGATACTTTTAAGATGTTTTAATGTAGATTCTGATTTCGATAATTCATGGTTTGTGAAGAAGACTAATATTTATTATTTTAGTCTGAAATTGTAATTGATTAAAAAAATATGATAAAACATCTTGAAAAATATCTAGATTCTTTTAAGATAATATCTTATCTTCTCAATTTTTTAGATAAGATGACAGTATCTTATCTAGATACATTTTATTCAAAATGAAATAAATCTTATCTTATCTAGATACAAAAATCGTTATGACTGCCCAACACTGTTCAATAGTGAGGTGGTACAACTATGATTTTTTCTAAAACCAGATTGCCGTTCGTGAAGAATAGCATTTGATTCTAATATAACCAGTGACCTGGCTATTCAATAGAATCGCGAAAATCTTGGGGATGACTGAGATTATGCTGATTGGTCTGTAATCGGAAATTGATTGGGGACTTGTTACTTTATTAAGAGGTTTAATAATAACTTTATTCCCATCGGCTGGATATACGCTATGAGAAATACAAAGATTAAAAATGTAAACAATATGCTGGGCAATTGAAGGCATAATTAGTTTGAGGAATTTAAGAGGAATGCCGTCGTCACCAATTGCATTACTCTCAATTTGTTGAAAAGCAAAAAGAAATTGATCAATGGTCATAAATTGTTGAAATACTTACAAAATGAAGTAGATAAAATTCATTTATTATCTCGTTTATCACAGAGACATTGAAAAGATAAAAGCTGGGATTGCAGAACAAGTTAGTCATTTTTTGTATTCGATTATGTCGTGCGCTATCTATGTAATTACGTCATTCTTTTATGGATGGAAATTGACTTTGCTGGTTGTGTCATATATCCCGATAATTTTCGTAATGAATCTACTGATTGCTAAGGTAAGCTATTTAGGAAATAGACAAATTAATTCAGAGATTACAATGGCAATACAAGTATGCGTACAACGTATACAACAACAACAAAAATAAGCGTTTAAAGACGATTAATGCCCTGCGGCGTCTAGTCTGTTTTGTAAAGGTGGCCTCACTTCTCCTCTAACAACATTCCTTCTACGTTGTACGCTTATGAAAATTAATTTAAATGAGAGATGTCATGGAACAAGTTTGTTTTTAAAATTAGGTTCAGGCAATATCGTCTACGAAAGAGCTCAATGCATATGCGAAAGCGGCGAATGTTGTTGAAGAGGTGTTGAGTGGAATTCGAACGGTATTCGCATTTGGTGGCGAAAAGATCGAATTAGAACGATACAAAAAGCGATTATTACCAGCTGAAAAGGCTGCAAAGAGAAAAGGCATATATGCATGCATTGGAGATGCCATCACGCGTTTCCTTTACTTTGCAACATGCGCCGTTTCATTTTGGTTTGGTGTTCAATGGGTTCTCGATGACAGAGCAAATGTCGAAAAAACGTATACAGCAGCTGCTGTGATCACTGTGAGTTTATTATTCAAAGATAAATCAATTTGTGATCTTCTGTGGTTTTCTATTCACTAAACGTGATTCGTAGATTTTTAATGTTTTTATTGCTGGTGCTGAAAACTTGGCTCGAATTCCACCGTTTTGGGAAATATTGGCGTCTGCACGTGGATCAGCAAAGAATATTTTCACCACAATTGATCGCAAATCAAAGATTAATCCAATGGATACGCATGGAAAAGTATTGGATTCAACAATCCTAAGGGGAGATATTGAGTTTAAAAATATTGCCTTTAGATATTCATCTCGTCCAGATGTGCAGGTACTTATTGGTTCATTTATTTTACTTTGCTTGCTTACTTTATATACTACTTCCAGATTTTGAATGGATTAAATTTGAAAATTGAAGCCGGTCAAACGGTGGCACTTGTAGGGAATTCCGGAAATGGAAAGTCGACATGCTTACATCTTTTTCAACGATTCTACGATCCGAACAATGGTGTTGTACTTATAGATGGTTGTGACATCCGCGAATTGAATATTAATTCATTGCGTTCAAGTATTGCGATTGTTGGTCAAGAGCCAGTTCTTTTTTCAGTTACGATTTGTGAGAATATTCGATATGGCAAACCTAGTGCAACAGATGAAGAGGTCATTGCCGCTGCTCAAATATCCGGTGCACATGATTTCATTGCAGCTTTACCACAAGGGTACAGCACAATGGTGGGTGAGTTTGGTTCACAGTTCTCAGGTGGACAGAGACAACGGATTGCAATCGCCCGTGCTCTTGTACAAAATCCGAAAATTCTACTTTTGGATGAAGCCACTTCAGCACTTGACTATCATTCGGAAAAATATGTACAAGAAACATTGGATCGGGCGAGCAAAGGTCGAACTACAATCGTCATCTCACATCGAATGTCTGCTGTTAGAAATGCTGATCGCATCGTCTTTATTGACAATGGGCAAGTGATTGAAGATGGAGCGCACAGCGAATTGATCGCGTTGAAAGGACGCTACTACGAAATGGTAAAATCCACACACCACGAGCTAGAAAAATTTGATGAATCTCAAAACGAAGAGAAACAAACACAACATAGTCAAACTAGACGTCACAGTGAAATTAAATGTCATGAATTTACATTGGACGGAGTCGAAGAGGAACAACGCCAAGAGAGAGATTCAGTACAGTATTGGAAGAGCTTCAAACGTATTTTGCGACTTCTGAAACCAGACTGGTTCATCATAACGATAGCAATCATTTCGTCTGTTGTGTTGGGCTTTTCAATGCCACTCTTTGCTATCATTTTCTCAGAAGTGTTTGCCGTATGTTACAAATCTAGTTTCTTTATTTTCAAATGTCAATTGCTTGGATCGGTGGAAAAAATCTTCAATTCATACTATTTTATAGACATTTGCAATCCTTGATCGAGACGAAGCATCTAACGCCGTTCTGGAATTATGTTTGATATTCCTTGGTATTGGTGTTCTCATGTTTATCATGGCAATCACACAAACATTTTTGTTAGCCAAGGCTGGGGCAAGACTGACCCAACGAGTTCGGTATGGATATTTTCACAACATTAAACTTTAAAATGATAAACTAAAATGCATTGTATCCTCCAGATTGATGACGTTTGCAGCAATGCTTCGCCAAGAATGTGCGTGGTTTGATGAAGAAGAGCATTCCGTAGGGATTTTATCCTCGTATTTGAGCGCAGATGCAGCAAATGTACAAACTGTATGTCTCTATTCTTATACTCTGAATTCATTTACACAAATCTAAACTATTTTTTGTTTTATGAACTCAGGCTATTGGCCTTCCATTGAGTGTGATCCTTCAGTCGGTTTCGACAGTTGTTTTTGGAATGATCATCTCACTATCCGTATCAACTAAATTGACGGCTGTTTGTTTAACCTCCTTAATTTTTCTGATACCAATTGTACTTCTAGAAGCAAGGTATGGCCAGTGACCATTGAACAAATGTTCTGAACACTAGTTTTAGCTACACAAACTTATTGTGTTTTTATCATTTAGGAGTACGTCAAACGCGGAATTAGTAGAGAAAGATGCAACCGCAGTGGGGATGAAAGTAGCAGCAGAAGCGATTGCAAATATCAGAACAGTTGCAAGCTTGAGTAATTTAATTGAGTTCAACTATTACTTGTGAGCAATTAGTAAACAATCAATTTTCATTTGGTTTTAGGGCAAGAAAAGTCGACAATTTCACGATTCACCAGCGAAATGGAAAATGTTCAAAAGATCGCTCGAGAGAAAGTTTTTTGGCGTGGATTGTTAAATTCAACTACTTTGACCATTCCGATTGTTGCGTATGGATATTCTTTTTGTTACGGTAGCTATATGGTAGCAAACGGGGAAATAAGTTACAAACATGCCATAAGGTACTAACTAAGAACTCGATAAGAACGTCATATCTTCTTCAAACTGCATTGAATATATTATTATGTTTCTGTTATTCGTTCAACAGAGTTTGTGAGGCGTTGCTTTATGGTGTTTTCATTATGAGTCAAACGTTAGTTTTGGCTCCTGCAATTACCACAGCGTTTACAGGGGCTCATCGTCTATTCAAAATTATTGATCGCTCCCCATTGATTGAATCACCACATATCGCAAATAAAAATAGGAAAGCAGATAAACGGAATAACATCAAATTCGAGCATATCGATTTCCGGTATCCAACCAGGCCAGATGTTCAAATTTTAAATGGGTTTAATTTGAATATTCCAGAAGGAAAAACAGTAGCATTGGTTGGACCATCAGGTAAAATATGATTAAATTTATCAACAGATACTCAGGCAATTCATCTTTTCAATCAATTTATATTTATAGGCTGTGGTAAATCGACATGCATTCAACTGTTACAACGACTATACGATCCAGAACACGGTCGGATATACATTGGTCTCGACGAAATATCCAATGATATCACATTGAAGGATCTACGATCAAAGATCAGTATTGTGTCACAGGAGCCAACCCTATTCGATAGAACCATAGCTGAGAATATCGCGTACGGTGACTGTAGTCGAAAAGTGACAATGGACGAAATAATCGATGCTGCCAAAATTGCAAACGCACACAATTTCATCGCACAGCTACCTCAGGTTCATTATTTTTAAATTAGATGTACGATTAATATATGAACCATTGCGACAAACAAATTCCCTCAAATATTTTAGTTTCAAAGTGCAACATGAATTTTTTTTTTATAGAGTTTACAACAACAACTCCATATGAAAAAAATTTTATGTTGCACTTTAAAACTAAAATATTTGAGAGAATTTGTTTGTCGCAATGGTTCATATATGTTCTAATCAACAAATGTCAATTCGGTGATTTAGGGCTACGATACAAATGTCGGCAGCAGAGCAACTCAAATATCTGGAGGACAAAAGCAAAGAATTGCTATCGCTCGAGCTCTTATCCGAAATCCAAAAATTTTGCTCCTTGATGAGGCGACCTCGGCTCTTGATTTGCACAGTGAAAAGGTGAGTTCAATCTTGCCAAAGTTGAAATATAATTCGCGAATTTCGACTGACGCTTTTTATTTGACTGACTCTCATATTACAGACTGTTCAAATAGCATTGGACTCGGCTCGATCAGGTAGAACTGTTATTACCATAGCACACCGTCTAAGCACAATACAGAATGCTGACATTATTTGTGTTGTTCAAAATGGAAGAATCGTCGAATCGGGTTCTCATACCGAATTACTTGCACAGAATGGAGTTTACACAAGACTATACAATGCTCAAAAATAAAAAAAAATTGCAACAAATTGTACATTTAAATTCGAAAATTAAAAATTTTATCAACTTGGTTTTTCTGCAGTTCACCATTTAGAATGCATCAGCAATGTATTCTTTATAAAGAATTCTGTTTTGTTTATTTTTTATTGTATGTAAAAAAAACACGGACCTATGTTCATACATTGCCTCTGTGCGTATGTAGATTCTTGTTCTCAATGTCTTTCGCAATAGTATACTAAAGTATACTATACATATATACCACCTTCTCAGGTAAAAATATGGAGAATTCTTATGGAACAGTCTATAAAAGTTCTATAGAACAGTCATTGTTGATTAAAAAGAGTGCAGTCGAATAATCGTTTTTTCTATATTTTATGTGTAAAGTTCACAACTCGGACTTAGACCCTATAGGAAATGGTAACAGAATGGCAACAACACATTTTGTACAGAGTGCAATCGGTTCGGTGCGGTTGTGTTAAATGCAATTTTGTTTGATTTCCATTTGCAAATTATGAAGTACTAATACACTTGAATCTTGAAACACTGAAAATCGGCATAAGCATTTCGAATCCGTTTCGAAATAAGAATAAACATAAATAATGCATTTTGTTAGTTTCCACAACGGAAATATAACTAAAACGGAACCCACATAATAATTACGAGTGTGTTTGTTCCACTCGTTCGGTTTTCACAGGCGAATTTAAACATTTCCATTTTTGGTGAAGTTTCGTCAATTGAACCGTTGCGACAAACAAATTCCCTCAGAATATTTTAGTTTCAAAGTGCAACATGGAATTTTTTTTATATAGAGTTTACAACAACAACTCCATATGAAAAAAACTTTATGTTGCACTTTAAAACTAAAATATTCTGAGGGAATTTGTTTGTCGCAATGGTTCAATTTTCTATTTATATTTTTGTTTTGACTTCAAATGTTTGCTGTTTTTAACCAGAAAAAGAAGGATGGGGGTTTACAACAATTTTGCAACAATTTTTCGGTTAATTCACATGCTTAATATCATACTTACGGAAATTATGTTTTCCCATTTCAACGTCATGTGCATTAGTTTTCCGAACGAGACACGTTTTTCAATGTACATATTCATATAGCTTACCTTCACGTGCCGAACGCCACACTCCTACATTGTGTTCTTATTACTTGACATAAGTATGGTTTCTTTTATATGTGTGATACCTTTTTTTGCTAAAGACACCTGCCAGTCGCTCTTCGTTCCGTAAATTTTTCTTCCCAAAATCCAATCGCAATCTTATTGCCAACACAAAATGACTCACTCTTCTCTTCTTCTTTCTTTTTTATTGGAATAAATTAACGGAAAACCCCGATTATGATGAGTCTAACCAGATAATCCAGTCTATAGTTTTCAATTTGTAGAAATGCGCTTTGGTTTGACAAGATTCTTTGTCGAAACGCATCGAAATATTCTCCATTTTTGCGTGAATAAATTGATTGGATGACTGCAAATGATCAAGCGAACACGAGGCTAGTAAACAGATTCCAAATTTAATAGTTTGTCCGAATGAAACATTGAAATGAATCCAAAAAGATTTTCGTTACGTCCGATCTGATGAAGTGATTAGATTTTTATATATTTCGTCCTCAGTGCTCAGTGTATGTGGAAAAGTGAAAATAGAGCAAAGCAAAAGCAAACAACATGATATTTTGCCCAATTGATTTTTGTATTTGGAGAATTTATTTGTGAATTTGACAAATTTGCATATTTAACAATAATACTATCACTACAATGCTATGCATAGCATTTCATTTGCATACACATTTTGCTCAGTGTTTGATGTATTGCATACACTGTGCAAAATGTGTAAATGTTAGAAAATGTATGTTGCCATTTTTTCAGGATCGGTCTATTTATGCAATAATCAATTGCATATATCGATAGCGATTTTAATGCTTGGTTTTTGTTTATAAAACCTGTCGACAGCAATTTCTTTGGCCCATCTACGAAGGAGCTTTCCCGAAAAAGACGTTTGCATGGAATCGATAAAATAAACACCACCACTCAGCTTGTAGTGAGCACTCATATTATCTAATGAGAATCAATTGAATGTTCAAATTAACTAATTTTCAAGGAAAAAAAAACAGATTAAAACTAATAAATCGTTTTATAGTAAAAAACAAACCTTCAACAATGTTGCAAACAGCTTCGGCCGTTATCTGTGATTTATCTGCACGAACAACGAGAGCTGCTGGTAGGTCACCACCTTCATAAGGAATGCCAACAACACAGACGTCTTTAATGTCATTGTTTTTCAATAGAATTTCTTCAATTTCAGTTGGTGCTATGCTATAGAGCGAATGTGTAGATATCAAATTTTTTACGCGATCGATCAAGTGTAGATTTCCCTCAGTGTCGAAATGTGCAATGTCACCCGTTGGGAAAAATCCTTCATCATCAATTGCATCAGCCGACAATTCTTCATTTCGATAGTAGCCAAGAAATTTGTAGGGGCCTTTGCAATGAATTTCACCATTTTCACCGACGCCACATCGATTTCCCATTGAATCGACAATTTTCAAATGAAAACCGCCAACCATTTGTCCCTCGGAGTGGCTACCATTTGAAGCAACGGTTAAATAACCGACCTCAGTCGTACCGTACACAACCATGCAAATTGTATTTGGTAAATACGAACGAAATTCATCAAGCATTAAAAATGAAACTTTATATGCGCCGAGCAAGATACGTTTAAAATTTGGAAGATTGGTTTTTGGCAAAAGTCCACTTTTTAAAAAGCCAGCGATATGATGCGGGGTGTACATTGTACATGTTATTTTATAGTCTTCGAGCAAACGCAATTGTGTTTGAGGCGAAAATGGTACGTTTGATATTACACGAAGCGAACCACATAATACACCCCAAAAAAGAATAGCATATGCGGTTATCCATTGATATGTGAAAAGGGTATACAAAACATCATCCGATGTGATGATATCCAACGTTTGAACGTCCCATAGAAGGGCTGCATACGGCAAACAAACACCTATAACATAGAATATTGGGTAAGTTTTTTCGTATACTCAAAATTATTTTACTCAACGTTGGAGCTGCCAATGAACAATTTTTCAACACTATTAATCCAAACATTCATAGAACAACAAAGATACTAACCTTTAAATGGACCAGTAGTGCCTGATGAACTTGAAATCACTGCCACATCATTAATTCCATCGACTTCGACGGGACTTGAATTGTAAATTTGAATATTATTTTCAAAATTAAACCGCGAAATTTGGGAAAATGGTCTTATTTCCCAAATTTCGCTTGAATCAAAGTGTGAATAAATGGGGCAACATTGTTGACAGCGCCACGTCAAAGCGGTTGCCCGGTCAACTACAGTCAGTCGTAATGCAAAGTGGCACAAGCATGTCCCATTTTCTGCATCTAATCGTCGCGTTAATACGCGTGTGTATGTGAAAAATGGTACAAGCTTGTGCCACTTTGCGTTGCGAGTGACGTAGGCCTCTGATTGAAAAATAAACAAATTAAAGTTAACTAGAACCAAATGAAAAATAGTTCAAAAACATAGAAAACATATTTCTTGAAAGAGTACCTTTTCAACTTATATTTAGCCAAATTTTAAAAAAATCGTAGGTTTGATCTCTAGACAAAACTTTGCTGTTTAATCAAAATGGAAGTATGAAGTTATTGAAAAAAAATACAATTTAGAACACTGTTGTAGCGAAACAAAACCTACGATTTTTTTTTTAAATATTTGGCTAAATATAAGTAGAAAAGGTACTCTTTCAGGGAATATTTTTTTCCAATTTTTGTTGGAACTATTTTTCATTTGGTTAACATTAGTTTGTTTGTTTTTCAATCACAAGCATACTTCAATGGGTTTCAGTAGTAACCAACGTGAAGTTGGCTGCGTTGCCCGGTATGCATTATGTTCACCCTTTGGCTTGAATTTAAACTTACATGAAAATATCCTCAGTTCCCGTTACTTCAAAGAGACTTTCAACTGATTCTGAATCACCTTTCGTCCCATTGAATGTAAATATGGGAGCATCATTGTTTAATTCTTTCAAGCATTCTTTCATCAAATCATATTTTTCAACTTCACAAAAAATAAAGCTCGGTTCGGTAAGTCTAAACATTTTGATAATATCGGATTTTTCCACAGAAATGCCAAGCACGTTTGATGGACAACCCAAACCAAGCGAAGCTAAAATAACTGAACTCAGATGATCCGTATGGTCCGCCATGATTCCGATGACTTGTTTTGGCTGGCAACCGCGCTTCTGAAGATTCTCAGCCATACTTATCGTGTGCATACGCATTTCGGCAAATGTTATTTTCACACCGGTATCAGCATTTATCTACAATTTGCCAACAATAATGAAGAAATTCATTAGAAATCATTTCGAAAAGAAGGAGAAAGGAGAAAGTCAAATAAGCGACTTATATGTTAGTTTTGTTGTATTCAAACGCAACGCGTAGCACATTTGTCCGTCGCTGCTTCTTGGAACCGTGTAGCTCATACTCACTTTTGACTCCGCTCTTGGCAAGACCATAACGCTATTTATTTGTGCATTATTTTATTTTAAAGCGATTTTTTTCTGTTTTGTATTTTTCCGTTTTTATTTGAAATATTTCTCCGCAACATGTGAATTTTTTCTGTTCAATTTAGATTAAAAAATCGGACCGATTTCGAAAAAACTATGCCCATTTTCGGAATATGATTCTGTTTTTATTTGAAAGATTTCCCCTCAAAATCGACCGATATCTGTCAAAATTAGAAAAACCTCTGCTCAAAATAGAAGATATCGGTCGATTTTCGAATAGAATTGTCTGTTTTTTTCTGAAAATTATCTGACCAATTTCGACAAAAAGGCTGCCATTCTTAGAAAAAAAGTCTTAGCTTTTTTTTCCGATCATTTCGGATTTTTTTCGGACCATTTTGGGAATTTATTCGGTCCAAATTAGTAACCGAATTTCGGCCCAAATTAGGTATTGTTTCCGACCAAATTTGAAATTTGTCGGTTCAAATTAGATTTTATCTGACCACTTTAGAATCAACCATTCTAAACGGGTTTGAAAACGTTTTAGTTTTTATTCATCTTAATAAACATTTTGAAGGGGAAGAAACTCACTTGAGCGAATTTTGAACCATGCACTTTCATTGAACTCAATAAAACGTGAGCACAATTAACATTTGGATTGTAAATTGGTGGAACGGTAACGCCGCTCCACAATTTGGTTGCTTCATCGAATTTCGTTGAAAACATTTTTACTTTACAATGCCAAAATTATCGATTCCTTCACAAAACAAAAAAGCTGTTTATATTTAATTGCAATGCAAACAATACACACTATCAACTTATTTCGTGACCGACTGAATCTGCGATTGTAGCAGCGAGTGATTTTAAAGAAGTTCGAAAGATTGATAGAATCAATGTAGAGTTCAAAAATGTCACCATATCATGGTCTCATTTAATTTTAATAAATATATTTATAATAATTCAAAGGTTGATACGAAAACAACTATGAAGAAGGCTGTCCGCTTCTCGTATCTTTTATTTCACTTTGCCTTTTTGTGATCATTTACGATAGGTTTAAGTCCAAATTGTGAACTGAACACATGAAATATTAAAAAAAAACGATCAAGTGACTGCACTCTCTTTAATCAATATATATTTATTTATTTATTTTATTTATTACGGAGCCTACATTTATGCCAATATGTGTTCCCAGCAAGCTGAGAACATGCTGGTCAGAGACCCAATACGGCATAAATTCCGCCCATGGTGCGTCTTTTGCAAAGAGAATACAGTCAGGGGAGGGATGATATAAAAGTGAGGCTTTCATACCAGAATTGAGTCCGGAAAACCATGGCAAAACCGGCCTGACTCAGGAGAATCAGGGGAATTACATCATAATTTTTGTCATACACTACTTTATACAATGCAAAGCAAAAAAGAGGAATTCTCGAGGTACATGTGGCTGCCTCCCCAGTTCGAAAAATGAAAAACTTATTCCGGATTCGGAATCTGGGGAGCTAGTGCTAGTTTGTGCCAAATTTGTAGAGTTTGTGCTGCAACTGGGCGCGAGCACTAACTCGCCAAAGTCAGAAATTTGGAAAAAATGAAAAATTTGTTCGGCGACTCCACCTCAGGCCACGAATCTTGATGTACTGAGATTGGTTTTGTAAAATTTGGAGTTAGTGCTAGTTGTGTGCAAGTTTCCAGAGTTTGTGCTGCAACTACACGCGAGCACTAACTCACTGAAAATGAAATTTTGTCAAATTTGAAAAAAATTGTTCGGCGACTCCATCTCAGGCCATGAATCTTGGTGTACTGAGATTGTTTTTGGAAAATTTAGTGTTAGTGCTGACTCTGTACAAATTTTCATGCCTCTTAACACCACTAGCTTCCGAGCACTAACTCACTAAAAATGAAATTTTGTCAAATTTGGAAAATTTGTACGGCGACTTCATCTTAAGTGGTGAATTCTGATGTACTGAGATTATTTTGGAGTTTGTGTTGACCTTGCCGAAAGTCTCAGAGTTTGTGCTATCACTGGATGTGAGCATTGACTTCATAAAGTTGAAAATTCGAAGAAAAAATGGGACATTTGTATGAAGGAATGTTTTTATATGCCCACAAACATGGATACGGATGCATTGCAAGACAATGGCACTTCATCTAAGACAGTGACGCCCATTTTCAAATTTCTTTCTCATTTAATATGGCGAGTTGAACCGGCAGTTTTCTTTCATCGCGTTTTCTGCATTAAAAGCAAAATTGAAATGTTCAAAGTGATAGCCAATTTTTAGTATGAACACCATCGAAATAAGTAAAACAATGGCAGTAGTGGCACAAGTGAGCAATTGGTCAAAATTTTGGAGTTTTGTATCGAAAGTAATCGAAAAGGCAGCGATTTTTGGCGTCGGTTATCAAGCCGGGGACCATGCAAACGACAGTGAAACAATTTTAAGAGCGATAGAATCAACAAAACCAAAAGGCGAAATTATCCAAAAAGAAAACAAAGATTTGCAATATTCGATCATCGCATTAATTGTAATTGTGGTTTTGTTAATCTTATTGATGGCAGTAAAATTTATCTACGACTCAAGATCATCACGAAAAGAACAGCCAATTCAGCTCAGCACACGCCGCATGGGAGTGCAAAACGGTGCAAACAGTGTATAAAAGAGAGACAAATAATAGCAAAAGTGAAATCTGAACATATAAGTTATGAAAAGACAAAGTGAACACAGCGAGCAAAAGCGAAAAGACAAGAAGAAAAGAAGCAGAAACGTAGATTAAAGAGAAGTAACCGGACCGTTGACCGTTTGAAGATAGCAAAATCGGGTGCTCCGTTCGAAGATAGCAAAAGCGGGTGCTCAAATTACGTACTTAGGCGAAGAGGAACAGAAGGCGAATATGACACATATGAAACGAAACGAATGAGTAAATGTAGCTTTAAGTCAATTTGGTCACATCAATTTTTTTTAATTCGTAAGTTTATTAGGCCAAGCCAAACGTTGCAATCATAAATTTATTCAATTCTCTCTGCATCTATTTTTTTTCTAAATACATAAATGTCGAAGAACAGTAAAAAAAGTAATAGCGAAAATCAATACGAGAAAGATTTGAAGAAACTAAAAGATATTTTTGAAAAAGTACAGAAAAAAGTTCAAAATTACGACAAACGCACTTTGACCGATGCAGTTAGAATAGAAAAATATAAAGTAGAACTTTTATCGACGTATAATGGTTTAGTTAACTATGTAATTGCAATTTACGACGAAATAGACATAGATTTTCAAGTAAAAGTACTTGAATCATTAGAAAGAGCAGTTGAAATTTTAACCAAGGGATTGAAAACTCTGAAATTCGGTATCACGTTACCTACGGATTTATTGAAGGTTGTAGATATAGAGGCAAAATTTGTAACGAACGAAGAAATAGACGAAGTAGATAAGTTAAACGATAGTGTGTTTGATGAAAACGAGAGTGAAGACGGAAATTTAGAAACGAATTCGAGTGAGTCGGATACAGATTCGATTGAACCAAAAGAAGACACAATGACAGCTCCCACTGCTGAAATTTTTTTGGGCCTTTGTGCCAAACAAATGCCAATAACATTGTCGGGAGAAAATCTTCTTGAACTCGGACCATTTATCGCGTCATTAAAATTATTAAGAACGATGGCTGTTAGCCCTGAAAACAAAAAAATTGTTGGCAACTTTTGCAATCACGCGGCTTTCGGGTTCCGCTTTGGAATGTGTAAATGCTGATTCAGACGATACTGACGAGATCATAAATGCATTGAAAGCTGGAATAAAACCAGAAAACAGCAAAGTTGTTGCTGGCCATTTAATGGCACTACGTGCTGATCGCGCAAATTTAACCGATTTCGCTAAGCGTGCAGAAGAACTGGCCGAATCGTTTCAACGATCTTTGGTCATGGGAGGCACTTCACGTGCAAAAGCAATTGAACTTTCAGTTGACAAAGCAATTGATTTATGCAAAGCAAACACATCGTCAACACTGGTGAAATCAGTTTTGTTGTCCAGTAAATTTGATGACGCAAAAGAAGTTATTGCAAAGTTCACAATTGAAACACGAAACGCAGTTGCTGAAAATCAAATTTTGCAATTCAGATCGAACAGAGGTCGAAATAATCGTGGCAATGCAAATTCTGAACGAAATTGGAGAAATGACTCCAACGGTTTTCGTGCGAACGGAAATCGCAATAACGGTTGGAACAACAATCGTAGCAATAACGGTAACAATAACAATTTTCTCAACAACAATAACGGTAGCAACGGCAATAGCAATGCTAACCGTGGACGTGGAAATTTTCGTTCGAATTATCGTGGAAATGGACGAAATGGACAATCGTCTGTAAATTTCTTTAATTCGGAAAACGGCAGTGCCCCGCCGTCGGGGGCGCAGCAAGTCCAAATACATCAGGCGGAATAAATTCAATCGATGACAGCAAAACGCACAAAATATTTTTCATGAATCTAAATTATTCGGACTATGTATGTATGCTACAGAAGGTGACTGTTCATTTTTAGTTTATTCACAGGGAGACATTTGTGTAATCAAACTGAGCGCAATCGTTAATGAAAATGTAGTAATTGACAAATCAAATATTTCTAGCATTAGGGGTTAAACTCCAGAACCGATTAAAACGTATGGTACAATTCAGCTTCAAATCAAAATCGAAAATATTACAATAACGCATACTTTTCATGTGGTACCAAATCGGTTTGCAATTCCAAGTGACGCTCTGATCGGAAGAGACTTTATGAAACTATACCAATGCAAATTGGACTATGGTGGTTTATCGTTTACTTTTCGAACACATCTCAAAGAAGTAATTGTGCCGATGAATACTGGCATAGAGAATGAGGTCACAGTACAACCAAGATGCGAAGTTTTTCGTATTTTCAAATTTTCAAATTGAAATTCCATTGTTGAACCAGTTGTCATTCCATCTAGAGAAATAGTAAAAGGTGTTTACACAGCTACAACAATCGCACACGATAGCAATCCAGTCATTCGTATGGTGAATACTACGTCCAAGTTAAAGAAGGTTCTAATTACACTCACAAATAAACACATCGAAAGCATTGAAAAATACAAAGTATACTGTGCGAATAAAGAACAGAAAAATGAAATTAGAAACGAAGAATTGCTGAAAATTTTAAAGCCAAACATTCCGAAAATGTTTGAGAAAGAATTAACCGATTTATGCTCCGAATATTCTGAAATTTTTACACTTGAAAATGATCACATGACTGTTAATAATTTTTACAAACAGAAACTGAGAACCACTGATAATGAACCGGTGTACACGCGAAACTATTGACTACCGAAAACACAAAAAGAAGAAATTGATAAACAGGTAAACAAACTGCTCAAAAACGATCTTATTGAACCAAGTTGTTCAAATTACAATAGCCCAGTTATTCTTGTGCCTAAAAAGGGCTCTGGTTTACCAAAACGCTGGAGAATGTGCATAGATTTCAGAAGAATGAATAAAAAATTAATCGCGGATAAATTTCCTTTGCCTCGGATCGACGAGATTTTGGATTTGCTCGGAAGAGCAAAATATTTCACGGTTATTGATTTATTTAGTGGATTTTATCAAGTACCACTAGAACAAGAATCACGTAATATTACTTCATTTTCTACAGAAAAGGGTCAATATCGCTGGAAAGTACTTCCATTTGGTTTGAATGTTTCACCAAATTCATTCTCTCGAATGATGCAAATCTCTTTCGCAGGACTTCCACCAGACCGTGCATTTTTATACATCGATGATGTTGTCGTGATTGGTAAAAGCGAAGCACACCACATGCACAATTTAAAAGCTGTTTTTGATGTATTTAGAGAACATAATTTAAAAATAAATCCAAGTAAATGTCAATTTTTCCGGAAAGAAGTAACTTTTCTCGGACATTTATGTACTGAACATGGTGTTCGACCGGATCGAAGTAAGCTTCACGCTGTAAAACATTATCCAAAACCAAAAAACAAGGACGATGTTCGACGTTTCGTCGCTTTCGCGAACTATTATCGCAGGTTAATACGCAATTTCGCTGATTTAGAGTATTGTTTGACTAGATTATCACGCAAAAGACCAGAATTTAGATGGACTCCAGAATGTGAAATTGCTTTTCAAACATTAAAAAACAAATTGATGGAGCCGCCCATCCTGAGTTATCCAGATTTTTCGAAACCATTTATCATTACGGTAGATAGCAATGATTTCGCAGCCGGAGGAGTACTTAGTCAAGAGATAGACGGAAAAGATTTACCAATCAGTTTCATTTCTAAAGCATACACAAAAGGTGAAAAGAACAAAAGCATTGTGGAAAAAGAACTCCTTGCTATTTATTTTGCAATCAAAGCATTTAGACCATATATTTATGGCACAAAGTTTATTGTAAAATCTGATCATAAGCCTTTAGTGTATTTGTACAAATTGAAAGATCCGACATCGAAACTATTGCGAATCAGATTAGATCTTGACGAGTATGATTTTGAAGTGATTTACATATAAGGTAAGGATAACGTGGCAGCTGATGCCCTATCACGAATTATTATTATTATAATAATCAGTATTGTTTATCGCTTGAAAATATGGAGCTTTATTCCTCCTACTGGTGAAAGAAAAAATGATTTCGGATCCAATACCAGTTCACGATTTTTGAGTTTATCTTCCAAAACAAATTTGTGCTTCTGTAACATCATAACCAGTCCGACTTTTGTTTGTAATTTGCCCAATCCCATGGCAATACAATTGCGTGGACCACCTCCGAACGGATAGTATGGACGATTTATTTGATTTTTCTCCACTGAATTCTCTTCGTTGAATCGATCAGGATTGAATTTTAGGGGTTCTTCGTAGTATTTTTCATCTCTGTGCAATGAATATATGGGAATAATTACTTCGGTACCTTTCTCAATAATTTGTGTTGTTCCGGGTATCTGATAGTCTCTCAGGCTGGTTCGAGTTAACAACAATCCACCCGAATGCTTCCTTAATATTTCTGCAATTGAAATGGTATGAAAAATTTACATTTTTGATCATTTATCACTTCACCAAAATCTTGTACCCACCATCAACACAATTGTTCAAATACTTCATCTCGGAAATGGCATCGTATGTTATCTTTCCTTCGTATCGTTCTATAACATTCTTGATTTCGTTATGCAATTTCTCTTGGATTTCGGGACTTTTGGCCAATTCGTACATGCCAAAAGCTAAAGCCGTCGACGTGGTTTCAAAGCCGGCCGTGAAGAAAATAAATGTATGAGCCGCGATTTCATTCAATGTCATCGTTTTTTCATTTTCATTGGCTTGAATCGCAGTGTTCCATTCATTGTCCGACTGAACAGTACCGCTATTTCGCAACTGAATCATGAGTTGGAAAAAGTCCTTGCGAACGACATTATTTCGTTCACGATATTCCAAATTTTGTTTTACAGCTGTTTTAATGAATGTTTCCACTTGGGTACAAACAGATTTGATGCGTAGTACTCTCAAATATTTTGGTGCTATGAATGTCATAAAAGTACGAATTAAATTTGATAAGCTTGCCTCAAAAAATTTCATGCCACATTTTCGGAATCCATCATTTGGATTATTTATTGCATCGGCATCAATACCAAATCCAACCGAAGCAATAATGTTTATTGCGTGGCCGGGTGAAAGTTCGCACACATCAAGCATTTCACCAGTGTCGGCAAATTTGTCTAGATAATTTTGTAAAGTTAAACCACAATCCAGCAGAGTCGAAAACATCGCCTTCAACTTTCCAGGTGTAAATGCCGGTGTAAGCTTTCCACGTATGATCTTCCACTTTGGACCAGGTAATGCTTGCACATTTGCTGACAATGGATCATAGTCTTCATTACAGTGCACCCCGCGGTCAGTAAAATTCCAGAAATCCGTCATTAAAATCGACCGAATGAGTTCTGGGTCGCGGATAAGGAGGAGCGGACGAAGTATCGTGTAAAATCCAACAAACGGTTCATTTATGCATTTGTAAATTGCATCCAGCGATTCAATGATATGTTCCTTTCCCAAAAATGTTCCCGTGAAATTTCCAAATAAATAGTTTACACCCGGAACCGATTTGAATCTCTTGCGATCCCAGTACGAATACGTTCGTTTAAAATACAGACAGAGCAAAGTGATCACACCAACTAAAACGATTGATATATCAAACATCCAACTATCACTTATTAATGCCATATTTTTGTCAAACAGTGGAACTTCGAATTTTCACAACAACTGCTTTCATTCCAAATTTCCCTAGCAACTGAGACGAGATGCACATATAACTCGAATATATACAGCCATCAAATACTCATATAAATGTTCAGAGATAACAGTTGTGCCGCCGCAGCAAATTTGCGACCATTCTAAATCTTCGCATTAGTAAGAGTAGTGCAGCGCATTGTGCTGTTGTGTTACTGTACAGTTTCAATGCACATTATCACGGAGGACGGTAGTCCGACAAGTGACGCACCAAAGACTGTGCATTTCAAGCTAAATATCAAAAATTTCACTTGCTGCAGCTTACAGCATAATGGCAGATGAAACTGCGGATATTTCTGGAAAGGAACAATTATCGATCGGCGTACGATTTTATGACGATCAGAAAAAGTTAATTTGTGAAGAATTTTTAGGATTTGTCACCTTACATGCAATGGACGCCAAATCGATTGCTGCAGCTATTGACCAATTCATTGAAAACTGTGAATTAGATCCAATCAAATGCGTTGGACAGAGCTACGATGGCTGTTCTACTATGGCTGGTCACATTGGAAGAGTTCAAGCCATTTTGAAAGAAAAATATCCAAATGCTCTTTTCTTTCATTGTGCAAATCATAACATAAATTTGGTTGTGAACGACTTGAATATAGTTCCGGAAATACGTAACACCATTTCAACAATTAAAGATATTATAAACTTCTTTAGAGAATCGACTTTGAGAAGAAAGTATGTTCCGAATATTCCTGCTTTTTGCGCAACACGATGGTCGCACAAATACAAAAGTATTGACATATTCAAAAGGCACTTTGAAACGATAATAACTGGATTGGATGATTTGACCAGGGAAGGCAATTATGAAACTAGAAAGTCTGCATTTCAACTACATGCTGCGGGCACAAAACTCATATTTGTTTTATGTTTATTTATTATTGCAAAATACTCGGCAATACTTGAACCAGTGGTGAACGCATTACAATCCAAAAGTGTTGATCTATTTCAGTGTGCGGCACATATTAAACGAATCAAGTCACTTATTTCAGAACACCGCGAAAAAGCAGACAGCATTATGCAAGATATTTTGGATGAAGCGAGTGTTGTTGCCGAAATACTCGGTATAGAACTTGAATTGCCGAGAATTACAGGAAGACAAAAGCATCGATCAAACCATCCATCATCAAATCCACATGATTTCTGGAAAAGATCATTGTTGATTCCGTATTTAGACTCATTAATTACTTCATTAGATGATCGATTTTCGGATAAATATTCAGCATCGTATTCATTACATTCATTACATCCATATAATCTACTGACAAAAGACATCGACGAGCTGAATTCGAACATAGAGAAATGTTCTGAATTTTACAAGTTGACAAATTTGAAAAGTGAATTCCATATGTGGCAAACTCTTTGGAAAGATAAAAAGCTAAATGACGAGCAGTTGAAAGACTTAGATTTGTGTGAGGTGATTGAAGAAGCAGAAATATTTTTCCCATCTGTGAAACATGCGTTGCAAATATCACTATCACAGCCGGCCACTACATGCAATATTGAAAGATCGTTTAGCACATTGAGGCGTGTGAAAACTTGGCTGCGCTCTACTATGGGTGAAAGTCGCCTCAATGGTTTATGCATGTTGAGCGTCCACCGCGCAATGGTCAAAGAAAACATTAAACAAATACAGGAATAAGGACTTGAGAAGTTTGAAAAGATCCTCGAAAAGTGCTTTTTTAAAATCATATCATATTAACTGTTCATTGATAACAGATTCTATTGACCAATTTATATTTTGTTCGAAAATTAATAAATAGTTACACGTGAAAAAAATGTCCTCGATTTTCTGAATATTTCTTTTTGAACACCCCCCCCCCCCCCTAAATAAAATCCTGGCTACGCCCTTGATCACAATAGTGAATGCGAAAAACACTTTTGAACTTCGTACCCAGAGATAATACAGCGTCAAAGCGTCACTCAAAATGATATCAGTCACCCCATTTTAACCTCGATTTTAATAGCGATGAATGTAAAACAAACAAAGTGTCGATACACGCATTGATGTATGCACAGGATTGATCTCTTGTGTATTAATTTCGCTCTCGTTTATGGTGTATCACTCATTATCCGTCTACTGATTCGTTTAAAATCATTAATAATTCATTATTTTATCCTTCGAAAATAAGAAGTCTTTCATAAAATATGAAAAAACATTTCTCTTTGTTCTTATTCATTAAGATTTCGCAATAAAGTGTAAGTAAAATTGCATGAGATGAGACAAAACATAAACAAGATACCGTTAACTTTTAACCGACAACAAGAGTGTAAACACTCAGCAAACGCTATGTGCGTGTATCTCCTTGCTCGTAAGCCGCAACGGGGCAAGCGGATGAGATGAAACAAAGCGAGAGAGACGCGTTATAGCGCGCCATACAATTCGTCGCATACACATATCGTTCCTTCTCTTTCGCTTTACTACGTCTCATTCGTATGGACGTTTGATATTTTAAAGTAAGTTTTATGTGTTGGTTTGCACATCGCAGGAGTATTCAGCTAATTTGTGTCAGTGACGATAAAAATACGAACAAACCAAGCTCGCAAGAGAGTGCCGCTGTATGGATTTTTTCTTTATATGTATTACTAGAACATTGATTTGTCATCGACTATACAATAGCTTATCTTCACGCTTGAAAAGAATTGACGAATTGCTAACAACAACTTCTAACTCTTATTATTTTTTAACTTAATCACTTACGGCCGTGATGAAATGTGCTAATTGGACTTGTCCCGTAGTCTACAACAATGATAGGACACTTTCTTAGTTCTTAAAACATACCAAAGAGGGCGCCAACAGCTGTACATAGAAAGTTCCATAAGAAAGCGCCCTCTTTGTCAAATATCTTGTTGTTGGTCAAGAAAAAGTATGTATAGTTTCCTGTTGTTGGTCTACAACTTTGCAAAAAATGTACGTTTGTTTTGAAAAAATGTTACAATATATTTTGTTTAAAGTAAATATTGCCCATCGAAAGAAATGACTTTTTTTTCAATTTATTATTGGCACCATACCAATATCTTGTTAAAAAAAATGTCTTATTTTCTACGCTCTCGAATGAATCGACCCATTTTTCGATGGAGAACAGAAATTTCTTTTTAAGGTTTGGCAAAATGTCGCTGAAAAAATGCCGCCCCTGACGAGCAGCCATTTACAATAATACCTTTTTATGCTTGAATCTATTGAGAAGGGACCACTTTTCACCATCACTCTTCACTCGATGCAATAATAATCATTTTCCCGTTTCAAAGTACGAAATTTTCAAGTTGTAGGCCCTGTATATGTACGAAAGAGATAGGATAGGCTCTCTCAAATCAGTCTAGCAGTGCGCGTCTATAAGTCAACATTCACATTCAAATCGATCGTAAATTCTTTTGAAGTAAAATGTTTGTGATTTTGTTCTTATTGGGTGTCGTAACTCTGTTTTACGTTTGGTTAAAATGGCATTATACATTTTGGAAAAGAAATAAGGTTGCGGGACCAAAGCCAACTTTATTCGTCGGCAATATTGGAAGCTCGTTAAATTTTTCCGAACATTGGGGAGTTATCACAACTGATTGGTATAGGTAAGTCAAGTTTTATTTTGGAAGTTTCAAAAACATTGAAAAATTGAAACTCTTCAATACATTCATATGTTGATCAAGCGAATTTAACCAAATTTATATGTGCAAAAATTTCTTTAAAGAGAATACACAAATGAACCTTACATTGGATATTACAAATTATTCAAACCGGCCATTCTGGTTCGCAATCCCGATCTCATCAAAGACATTATGATCACAAACTTCAACAGTTTTCGCAATAATGATAAAGCCCTTAGCAAGAAACAGAATCCCTTGTTGGCAACGAATCCCGAATTCATGCAGGACGAGGAGTGGCGAGAAGGACGAAAGATGATGTTGAAATTATTTACACAAAACAAAGTAAAATTAATTTATCATTTTTCTTTTGAAAACAGTGAAATCATTTGAATAATTGATCAATTAAATACGACAATTTTAGATTAGAAGTATAATACCGGTGATGGATAGTGTTGGAGCTGATTTTGTAAAATATATCAAATCATTCCCAGCTAATACCGATCTCAACGCAAAAGAAGTAAATAGAAATTCGTGAATCATTTTCCCTAACAAAACACATGTTAATTTTCAAATTGTTATTATCATTCGTATCGTCTATAGATTTCAGTTCAATTTACAACCGAGAATGTAATAAAGTGCACATTTAGCATCGATCCCGGATGCTTCAACAAAGAACAAGAGTCTGAATTTTTGAAAGCTGGAAAAAAAGTGTACACTCCATCATCTTTGGTTGCGCTGAAATTTTTGTCGCTAGAATTCATGCCAAAATGGGCAATGGATATTATTCCAAACAGGTAAGCGGATTATCATATGTGCCCAAGTATATTTTAATCTGGATTTATTTCAATCTGAAATATTTTTGTCATAGTTTTCTTTCAGCATCAGTAGATCGGTTGTTTCGAACTTTAGTTGAAACAAACAAAGCATCTCGATCGAAAAATTCCCAACGCCAGGACATTCTGCAAATATTGCTGAAGCTGCAAGCCAAACATAGTAAGAGACTTATCGCATAAATGTAATCTCTTAACTTTTAGTAGTTAGAGGTTAATTAACTGAAGTTTCATGCTTTCAACATTTTCGGCGTTTTTAATATCATTTTTAATTCCACAGATTTCGACGATACTCATTTAACAGGACATACACTGTCGTTATTTGTTGAAGGCAGAGAGACTTCAAGTACACTATTGTCCTATGCAATGTATGAATTGGCGTTGAATACGCATTGCCAAAAAACGGCTCTGGACGAAATAACACGAGTTCTATCGAAGTATGATGGCCAAATAACTGTAGAAGGGCTTCGGGAGATGATCTACATCAATGGTATTTTGTATGAAGCAATGCGAATGCATCCACCATCGATGGTGATGGCTAAGATATGCACTCAACGCTATACGCTGCCCAGAACTAGTGCACAATCCGAACCGATCACGATCGATCCGGGAACGGTCGTTAATATAAATATAGCGGGTATTCATATGTAAGCTTAAAAAATCGTACGTAATATACGTAAATGATATTTATCCTAATTATTCAAAATTTTCGGAAGAATTTTCAAATAAAAAAAAAATGATTTTCCCAACCCAAACAAATAGGGATCCAAAATACTATCCAAACCCACAGGAGTTTATACCGGAACGCTTCAATGAGCTAGAGCAACTTTATCGTCACAAAGGCACCTTTCTAGGATTTGGAGAGGGTCCGCGTATTTGTCTTGGTCAGCGCTTCGCCATCACTCAAGTAAAAGTTGCACTCGTCCACATAATTCAGAATTTCCACATCAAACGGTCACCAAACCAAAAGCCAATTGTTATTGATCCACAAACATTGGTGTCGTTTCCAAGGGATGGAATTCTAGTTCGACTTAAAACTCGTTAAAATACGTTCATTGTATTCAAAGCATTTATAGTGATGAATAATTATTCATCTTCATTATAATTATAATAAGCCACATCATCACTTGAAATAACAAGAATCAACATTGAATTGTCATATAAATTTGTCGATTCATGAAACATCTGAGATTCGTCAGGACCATATCATCTCAATTGACGGGAATAGAACCATATCGTATGTTTATAATCGTACCACGTGCAGTAGTATAAATATATATGTCTATACACGCGGTACAATATCAATTGCTTGCGACCTTATCCGCATAGTGTTTATGACGTAATCTATGGCCAAATTAATTGAAAGAAATTCAGTGTATGGGTTTTAAAATTACGTTTATTATTCTATAGAATAAGATTTTTTGACTTTGTATGCAATATTTTGTTTATTTCATGTGAAATATCCAGGGATCGAAAACGGTTTGACGTTTCTCATACAAACCGATTTCGGAACGGTTTCACTGCTTTGCTCTCTGTTCATCGGAGCGAACCGTATCAAGCGGAACCATTTTTCAGAACGTTCCGAATGGTTTTTGGTCATTTTAAAATTTCAAGTTCAACTTAAGATCAGATTAACTGAATTAATTTTAAATGATAATAAAAACCCTTTAAGAATTCTATTTCTGTTATTTCCTCTAGAGCCCTTTCCTGACTGTGCAAACGCCAACTCGTTTAATATCAAAGACAGAAATTCTCTGACCGGTCCACTACTTAACAACGAAATGCTCGTCCAACCAACGTCCGAAACAGTGGTTGCAACGGAAATTTTTCGGGACTTTCTCGGGAAAAAATTTTTCTTCCCACAAATTGTTAAAGAAAATTTATCTTTGCCCGAAAAAGTCCCGTTACGACCGATAGGACTCCTAAACGAGAGATAAGGTCGAATTTCAATGCTTTTTTTTAGCTCTTAGTACAATAAAACAAGCTATTTTTTGGATGACTTTGAATACAAGCTTGTTGAAAACATTATAGTAACGTATTACTTTACTAATACTAATGTCTAACTTGTCAAATCAGTCTGGAGCGAGTAGTTTATCTATCTATATATATAAAGCTGAATGTTTGTATGTATGTATTATATCGAAACACCAAATTCATTTTTCAAGTGATTTTGAGCTTGGGAAAAATTCGAACTCATTTTCGAAAATGTTCAAACATATTTTTCAGAACGCCAAATTGAACATGTTTGTGCCTGTATTTCGGCTATGTTGAACATACTACGACTACTTCTTCTTCGTAGCTCTCACTGAAATGAGTTGTACTGTGAACTGAATGTGCGATTCTAAAGCCCTGCAAAGCATTATATTTAAAAAAAAAATGCCAACAGCTGTAATATGTGGCTAAGAGAGAAAGAGCCTACTTTTTTTCTATTTTATTTTGAATAAATGTTGTTCATAGTAGCGTAGTTTTTGTAGAATGTCATGACACCGATTAAATTATTTAAATGCAATACCATTCAAATTGAATTGATGTGATAAGATTTCAACAATGAAATTGTACAAATTAATCACGCATCAAAAAAACTTCAGTGGTAAGTCGATGGAGGAAAAAATCGGCGATGTCGTCGAAATTTTCCTACCAGAAGACGATGGTGTTCGATTGCTACTGCAAATCACGAATCTTAATGAGGATAAAAGCAA